CGAAGTGAAATTTTAATATTAAATAACGTTCCGATTCTCCCAAGTGCTCTGGTTACTTTACAACCCCTATATTATTCGCTGCACAAGTACGCCCTAATCCAGAACTAAATTTTACAATAACGTTAGAAGTCTAGAAAGAATATACACGAATATACAAAATTCAATTTGGCACAATGGTGTAAATAAATGATTGGAACGAGACGAGGAAAGCTGTGAGAATTTCAACTAAATTCGATACATTTTTAGAATTTTGATTTGATTCTAAAAATGTATCAAATTTGAATTATATTTGAACCATCTCAACATTATACCTCAAAGATTGAGCTCATTCAAAGTGATCTTTTTGAATGTCCAGCAAACATTTGGGATAAGCTGGTGACTTCTCAATTCATTTCAGCCCTGATTAATGAGAAGATGAAAAGACGACTGAATCTTGACGGTATTATTTCTCTAATTGTAAGAGCTGAAGAGCCTTGCGACCGCCTTGAGATGAGCATCATCGAGACGCTGTTTCTGTTAACCAAGCGCAGTGGAATAAAACTACAAAAAATATTATGCTTTCGAGGGATTTCGAAGGAAAAGAAATACAAACTTAAGGATGGCAGAAAACAGATTTATAATTGAGTGCTAGAAATTTGACCAAAAAGGATATCTTTTGACAAGATTGAAGAAGAAGAAGAACGAGAAAAGAATCTGCTTTTCATGTTCGCCCTGCCACGCCACAGACAAAGAAAATGCGAATAAGAAAACATGGAAGAAATTGTTGAAGAAAGAAAATTTAATATGAATTCAGCAGTTTCTTACTTTCTTACGGACATACCGACATGCTTACTTACCTACTTAAAAATGAATCATTAGTTGTAGTCATTGAAAGTAGGCTTTTATAATAAATAGAACGAGGATGTTAATTTTTGTCGAGGTTATCGACAAGTCTGTTCTCATTGAAAAAATTCAAAATGAATTGTAATGAATGAATCTTATTGTAATGAATGAATGAACTAGTTGAACATGAAGAAACATCTTTACTGACTAGCAATCTCCACCTGGAGAGTTTTTTATTTTAAAGGAATTGAGATATCACTGCAGAAAATTGACTTTAAGAAACAAGAAAAAAATCAAGGAAAAAGTTCCGGAATATCTATAGAATTTCTTTTCAAAAGTATCTCGAAAATTTTTCAAAGAAAAAACAGACAATACTTTCCGAGCTATGGGTATTTGTGAATATCTTTACCAGAGATTAAAAAATTAAATTTCATTTAAAAAATAATTTCATTGAAAAAAAAAAATGGTGGAAATACCAAAAAAATGGAAAAAAATTCATACACCATTATATTGCTTACAAAAAACAGTACTGCCTTTTTCTTTTTCATTTTTTCCTTCTATTTGCTATTTACGAGAAAAATACTGGCTAGTAAATCTGTGAATAATCTGTATAATGAATTAAATTCTTACGCTTGACTCCTTACGCTATTCCTGATCAATAATTTATGTATAGAAATGCGGTGAATTGTTTCATAGTTTCTGTATAGTTATATTATTTTACAATTCATCTGCTGTTACATATGATTTTATTGTAAGTTAATTGAAAAGCAAAGGCAGTTTACGTGGAATACTTATGATTATTTATTTATCCTTTAGTAATTAGTTTTAATATTGTATAGAAGTATTCTTCTACAAAAATATTGTGTAAAATTTGGAAAAGAAATTAATTAGTTCAGAAATATACATAATCGGTTGCAAAAAATCCGTCACTAACAAACTCAAATAGAAATCAAAATTTTCTGTCATTGTACGATTTTTCTTTTTTTTTTTTTGTCGATTCACTGAGAAGGAGTAATTTGTCTGTGCCGAAAAAATTTCTTTGAAGAATTAAAAAGAAAATTAATGGACTCTTCAATTTTATCGTACTTTGTGGTCTTAGTTTAAATAATGAAGTATCAAATTATACAGAATTTATTCTTAGAGACAAGAAAGCCAAGAGAAAATAATCGCGCGGTTTTCGGAGATACTAGAAAAATGGGAACAAAATTATTATCGATAAAGATTCTTGATAAAAATTGATCATGCATGCTTCTTCTTTAATTCTTTTTTTTTTTTTTTTCTTTTTGGAGGAAAAAATAGACTATAAAAATACAACTTTGAAATAAATAAAAATCATGAGTGAGATCACTTTTTGCAAATTTTGTGAAATAAAAAGCTCTAAATTATTGTTTGAAGGAAAAGCAAAATTGTGCTCAAGAAATCAACGCCATAATTTGTGAAATAGGAAATTCAAGAGAACAAGCGAAAATTCAGGCGAAAATGAAGAAGTAAGTTCCCTCTTATTGAAGGAGAAGGCAAGGAACTTCATTATTATTGGCAAGAGTTCGGTCAAATTACATTTATTAATTTTCTGAAAGTTCATGGAGATCTTCTATTAAAATGAAAATCATCTAACTGGAAAAAGGGCAAAGGGTTATTGCTTGCTTCAAAGAAAATGATACCTTTAATGTTGTAGGAATATCATCATGTCCCAATAACATTTTAGAGTTAATAAGGTTTTAAGTAGAATATGTTAAAGACTTTGTTGATCTGATAATTGCAACAATATCGAAGATTGGCAACGTTATCATATTTAAGCAGAGGAGAATCGTAAAGAGAGGTAGAGAGGGGAATCTTTAAAAAGCACCATTTGAGAAAATGGCTTAATATTGTAAAACAATATCTGATTCCATCTTGATGCAATATTTGTCTATGTTTATAACAAATCAGTAACAAGTTTAGAATGAGTAAGTACCATTGTTTCTTTTATCGTATCATTTTTTTCATTATTTTTATTATTTGTTTTATTAAGGAATACATTTTTGATGGTTTTATCTGAACAAAAAATGGTTTCATCTTTGGACCCTTCTGCGAAAGAAAAGTAAAAACATAACTATGAAATTAAAAAATGTTCATGACACTTTTCCTCATATAAACTATAGTAAAATGAAATTCTGATATGATGCCTACATTAGCAATGTTTTACTTCGAAGGAGGGAACAAATTCAAAGAAAAGAAAAGTTCAAAATTACTATCAGAAAGATCATTTTACTCGATATAATACTATGATACATAAGCATTAAGACTCAGTATATAAGAGCTAAAAAGAATGAATAAAAAAAACGTCACTAAGTAAACTGAAAATTATTAAAATCTTGTTCAATTTTTGGGTGACTTTTCCTTAATACAATGGGCAAGTACCAAGATGGCTGTCTTCTGTAAAGAGAAGAATCTGTCATTTAGAGAAGAGTGGGGGAAAGCAGTGTTACAACATGAAGCTGCGTAATCGAGTGGAATCCAGTACTCACTCAGTTATATAGCCGCGAATATTTGAAAAGAAAAAGAGAACCATCAGCGATACGAACGAGCATATTTGTGTTATTTGTAATATTTTCACTCCATTCCACGTAATGTGTAGTATAACAATACTTAAACATTAATTATAATAATTTTAATTTTGCAGTTAAAATTATTTGCTAAAGGACAAATGAGTGATGACAAGTATATTACGGCAAATTACCTATGCTTTTTAATTAACTTTAAAATCATATTTAATACCAGATGAACTGTAAAAAACTACGCCATCGGTATAAACTACGGAATAATTCATTATACGTATCACTCATGAATTATTAATCATAAGCGATAAGTCGAGCGTGAAAACTCTCAATCTGTTATATATTACACACACAGTACAAACCGATATGCTGCATATATAAAATATAACAAATCCAATAACCAAGCACGTAATAAAGGATCTTTAATTCTTTCATAAGCAAATGAAATTACTTTTTCGCCAATTGATAAAATAACGCGTATAATAAAAACAATATAAAAATATGTTTTCATTTCTGCATATTTGTATATATACACTATATCTGTATATAGGAAACGAAACAAAAAAGTAAACTGTATTAAATGTTAGTTGAATAAAATATATTCAATATAGATAACAGAAATCATACGCATTACTTTTATTTACAAAGGATTGTAAGAAAGTAAAATACAAACGTTTTATCACGATCATTTATTGTCTCACAAAAATTTACGAATTTTGTAAAAAATATATTAACATATATATATATGCATGACGACGAGTCGAATTTGTCAACAAATATGGCATCGGAGAAAGAAGTCGCTTAGATCTACTCCGCAAATGCATTTCGTATACAATCTAGACAATCGAGGCAATCGAAGACGTTCATCGAACCCGGAGGCATTACCGCGCACGCGATCGAACCAGTGCTCTGTATATAGATGGTAACTAAACGTATGCATGTACACAAGTGTGCGCGTGTGGGTGAGTACGAGAGAGAAGGCGAAAATGCATCAACACGGTGTGCCGAAACACAACTTCCCTCTACTTTGTTCGTGATCGTACTAAAGAAAGAAAATACGGAGTGGCGATTGCCGCGCGTCTTTTCGATTCAAGAACGTGACACGTCGTGCGTACTCGTGCGTATTCGTACAACGACTCACCGGGTAGGGAGAGGACTCGTCGTGTAGGACCACCCAGCGACGAGCGTCGCGTCGGCCCCCAAAAGACAAGCACGTGGAGTATGGTATCATGGTGACAGCGGCGGCAAGAAGGGGGCGTACGATCCGCTCGAACCTTGTCACCGAGAACGCTGCTACTAATTGTTGCCCGCGTTGTGACCGCCGTTGTTGACACGTTTCTTTTTCTTTTTTCTTTTTTTTTTTTATTATTATTATTATCACGTTTCCGGCGAGCACGCGTCTGACGTTCAACGGCGATGGTAACGCGCCTCGCGCCGTACCACCGAACAACCGAACGGGTTAGAGAAGCCCACGGTGGAAAACAACAAGAGGCAACCGGCTGGCCAAGGACCACGAGACTCGCGAACGTAGCCAGGGAATCACGACAGTTGATTGGTCGACGGGAGTATCACCGCCGCCTGCCGACCATTACGCGCAACCGCGTCCAAGAGATCAATGAGACTCGAACCGAAGAAGACACTCGCCTAGAAGTACCCGAACGCTCACGAGCATGTGCGAGGTTCACCGAAGACAGAGGTGTACCTCAGAATCGGGTCGCGGTGCGGTATAGTCGATACGGTAGCGACGTTTAGGTTTGACAATTGACAATCTTTTTCCTTGATGGCTTCTCTCGAGATAAACCGACATTCTCTGCTTTCTAACAGACATCGTATGTAACACAAAAGTGCTTATGCTCTATATTTTTCCTCTTGTCGTTCGTTGTCAATAACGTCACAACGTAGAAATTAATATGGAGATCGTCGATTATGTAATTTTTTGCTTAACGATTGATGTATCTAATTGAATGGTTTATGACCTTTTTTTGTTAATTTTAATGAAATCAGTTAGTCGACCGATCCAACATACTTCAGCATTTTAGAATATGTTATTATTGTATACGGTGTATCCTTCATAGGACTGATTGTGTTTTCCATAATGATTGCATTTATGAAGTTAACTTTAGTGTATGTCACGCAGAAATGAACATGCAGGTGCCAAGGAGCTGCCTAGTTTAAATTTAGCCATGTCGCGTGCAACCGATGCATTTTCGCAGGGTTAATTGATTTGACCTGAAGGAATCACCAATATTGTCAGTACCTACTATATTAGATGTAAATTTATAAATATTACTTGTAATTTCTTCAGCTGCAAATGTTATAATTTTTTTGGAAAAATAAAATTCCGTCTTCTATTATCTTCTTTTACTTATCTTTTTTCGCACATCTATTATCTTATTTTTATTTGGCTTTAATATTCAAAAAATTCAGTTGTTTGATATTATTATCAGAATTAAATGATATTTTAAAATATAAACGGAGCTGTTTGTGTTACTTTCAATGTGATTAACAATAACATATTAACAAGTGCTGGAGTATAATGCTGATTGCTAGGCAGTAATGCAACAATCAACCAATTATATTGCAATATTTAATCGTAAAAAATTTACAAGAAATTTGATTTTTGATACTCTAATCTCATTTCGTAAATACTTCATTTTAAATGAATAGAAAAATATTTTGTAACTTGCAGTATTATCGTCTCACAAATATTTCTTATTAAATGAAAAATTTTTCTCCTATGATTATTATAGATTTCCATTATCTATGCGAATTTATTTATCATTTAATATTTTGCACTATTTGTAATTAAATTATTTATCTCTGCTTTAAAAAATAATTACTGTGAACAAGTAGGGAATGCAAACACTGTTTAAAGTATGTAAACGTAGGGCTTTTGCATTACAGATTACTTCAAGGACGATTACGCACACCATTTTTCTGAATGGCATAGTCCATGTTACGTCATTGATAAGATGTCGCACATGTTCATTATACAATAGAAGAGAGGGAATCAAATGATGGAGGAAGAAAAAAACAAATGGAAGGAAGATACAAAAACCAAAGAAAATATCTTCTATATTTTTTTTGAGAAAAGAAATAAAAAGAAAATAAATAAAATTTGGACAAGAAGAATTTAAAAAGGCAGAGAACTGTAATAGATGGAAGAATAGATAAAATAGCGAAGGAAAATGAACAGATGAAATGAAATGTAAAAAAATGGATGAGGAAAGAACTAACAGCTAAAGCGAAAAGAAGCTAAATGAAGAAGAAATAAAGAACGAATATAGTGTACGAAATGAGAAACGGCATATATAAGAACAGCAGACAAGAATGAATGAGAAAAATAAATATAAAATGAACAACAGACAAAAACAGGAAAAAAATAGCGTTAATAAGACGAAAAAAAAGGAAAGGAATTAATAGGAACGACCGGGAGAAAAAAGGAAGAAATGAGAAGCATCATTTAATTTTAGCACGATCGCGTGCAGCCGATGGCTGCCGCAGGGGTATGTCATGGCCCAGGGAGTCGCTTGCAATATCGATCCCAACATCACGCACCTGAAGCGCACCTTCTCTCCCATATAAAAGGGAGGTTGCTGTTATTAGAGATATCCCCTTCGATCATCATATTCTTTCCTTTTTCTTTAATACTTAAACAAACATCATATGTCATTTATGTTGTTTCTAAGAGACATCTGACTGTATATGCAAAACCAGCAACTGTTATATGAAACTGCAGATTTAAAGATTTTTTATATTGGATTACGTAATGTCAACGCTATCATTAACTTTAACCTCTGTTTACAATAGTCATTAAATTGAATAGCATACTTTTTGCGATATCTTCTTTTCTTCAGAATAATTCTGTTCTGTAATTTGGTAGAAGTTTACAATTTTTTGATAGAAATTCGAAACATTAATCGAGCGAGAAGAAGATTCGACCGAAAAAAGTACACTGTCAATTTTATTAAACTCAATCAGTATTAAATATATTCATGCTGAATTACAAGTCGATTTTTGTGATTAGAATGATTTCTAGAGGATTCTTTATTTAAGACTCGGAATAATTTAATATATTATTTATAATTCTATAAAAATATTGATGACAGAAATCATCGATAATTAATTTACAATAATATATTTATTTCATATCTTTATAGTAAAAAATTATTATAAAAAATATGATAAAGTAATTATTACGTATTATATTTCGTATTAAAATTTTTCTTAATTATCATATTGAAATTGCATACTGAAAATATATTTATTCGATTTTGAATGTATATAAATTGTAGAAAATTTAAAAAATAGAGAAAATAGCGACCAATTTTCTTCTATAAACTTTTGAAAGGATTAAGAGTCAATGACAATAAAAAAAACATGTATATCTATTAACAAACGTATATTTGGTTTTTGGTCCAAAAAGAAAGTTCATGATCCTGTGAAGTCTCGAAATAATCGTAAGAAAGTTTTATCAAATAGGTCATGGTTCAATAATATCAAGGTATTTTCTTGAGGAATGTCGATCAGGCTGTTAATCAAATATATGACCTCAAGTGTTAGAATATTCTTTTACACACTGTTCAGAAAATGAAGAAGTCAGGTTTTTATTAATAGCGAATCAATAATAATTTCAATAGTTTCATCTATTGCCAAAATAAACTTTCATATCTTGTAAATATTTTTGTATCTTGTATACAAGATGTCTCACTATTAACACTAATGACAATTAATAGTGACCGTGCTCACTATTAATGCTAACCGGTCAAATGATAGTTTCAAAAGTTAATTTAAAATTATACGTCCATTGTTCTTCTTTTGTTCATTTAACTTTATGAAAACTATTATATTATCTGATTAATTAATCTGATCAATTTTCCTTTTTCTGTTTGCTTTCTTTTTCATTGAAAAAAATTTATTGTCTGATTTGTTTACCACAACCGGTCAACAAATTTACATCTTTTTATCTTTGCTTGAGACTTTAGTTCTGAATTCAACTAATTTAAGATCTGAACATCTACAAATGCACCATTGACGACAAAATTTCTAAAAAAAAGGAATGATATTAGTTAAAACTATTCAGAGTAACAAAAAAGAATTAAAACAGAGAATTACAAATGCGAAAAAGATGATATATTTTTCGACGGTAGTTTACGAATCATTTGATTTGTGATTGATTGATCTGGCAATTTATGAGACTAAATTGCGACGAAAAAATGATACTAAGCATAAATATGTCAAAATCGAACAGTATAAAACAGTATAAAGCAAATATCTGAAACAATAACATACTATAATAATATCAAATTCGGTATCGTCATGATTGGTCAAATAGTGAAAAAGTACAGCGCAAAATCAAAATCATATAGATGACATATCCAAATACTCTTTAACATCCTTGAGTTGGCCAATAATGCGTGAGTTCTTTATAAGGAAATAACTAGACAAAATATATCAAAACAAGAATTTTTATTTCAACTGGCAGAAGAGGTTATCAAAAATTGTTCCAAGAAAAAAAAGAAAACGTACAAGGAACATTAAGTGATATTTCACACTCGCGAAACATGCCAAATAAGATTTTACAAAGATGAAACAAAACTAAATTTTGTATGATTTGTAAAAAACATGCAGAAAGTGTATGAAAAAAAAATCCATCATCTGAAAAAAATGCAATTAGCAAAACTAAAACATCCTTCATTTATCTTTAGATGAATGCTCCTATCATTTCCTGTTTATGTTAAATATAGAAATAAAAATATATGATTATTTTATTATTATTTAAATGTTATGCTGTGCATTATTTTCTACAGTAAATCGAAAATCTGTATTTCTTTAAAGAAAATGACCGGTTATGGTAAGAATGAAGTGGCGTCAAAAAAAGAGTAATAACATATGCAAAAATAAATTAAAAACAACAACATGTTTTTATTTTGAAAACAATAAAATTTTTTTATTTGAAATTTCGTTTTCGAAAAAATTAAGTTTGAAACTTTATCAATTATACCTACCTATTTGAATTTAACTAATTCGCAGTATATATTATTACATTATTTCCACAACACACTTTGTTTTAAAAAAAATTCAATTTAAAACCAAGTACACATGTATTTAAACAATCTTTAATTAAATGTATTCAAATTAAACGGAAGGTCTTAAACGAAAATTCTACATTTTTCACTCATTTTCACAGACAGAATAACCAATCGATTAGTCACGTCTGTGCAGTTCAAAATTTATGAAAACCAAGTATACCTAACGAATTTTCTCGAAAACGATTTCTTAAAAAAAAAAATTTTTTTTCGAAATATTGAAATATTCAAGTTTTTACAAATAACAGATATTTATTTTAAATAGCACACAAGTTTATAAAATTATCCTTAACAATATCTGTTTTGTATTATATTAATAACTTTTTAATTATTATTCTAGAATTTTATAATTACCATTAAATTATAGAATGCGGATTTTTATGCATTTATGGGAAATTCAAAGATGCAAAAATGCATAGAATGAATATAATATGTAAAAATATATGAAATATTGAAAGTGCGTTATATATAACATTTAATTATAATTATATATATAATTTAATTATATTTATATATATAAGTACTATTTAAGTATTATCCTAATTTTTTAGTTGTATAAAAATATAAATATAAATAAGTATCCATAATCTACCAAAAGAGGAAAAGAAAATATTTCAAATTGGATTTAACCACTATTTTCAAGTTCGAAATGAAAAATGTAATCTTTAGCATTTGAAGTTATCGTAAATATTATTCTATTTGTCCATTGGCAAATGAGCCGAGTTAATTTTAACGAGAGGATTACCTAATGTTTGTGCACATGATAGATCGTGCACGTTCAATAAAAACGCTCCTTTGGCGCCAGACGTATCGCGAATAGTATTCAGTGTGTGTAACAAAGACTATGAAACAAATTGAGTCCTTTTTATCATAAATTATACTTGACGTTACATTTCACATAAATATTTAGTTCCTAATTCCGTGAATCGATCATACAGGAAATATAACGTTTTTTAATCATGTACTTTTTCTCTGTAATATCAACAATTTTATTCTATTTTTGTATACTTTAAGATTGGTATTACGTCTTTTAATATCATTAATAAATTTTCGCTATCGAGATCAAATTATATGCTGATATTAATTTCCTAAACATAGTGATATTAATATTTTTTTTTTCTTAATAAAAATTTATGATATAATTTATATACTCGTCATAGAATATTGTAAATATATTCTATTCATAATATTACTTTAATCAAAAATAATTGATTTGAAAATAAACTTTTGATTTTCGATACTTTAACAGTTATCGACAGTCATTTTAATTGTATATAATTACAATTAAAGAGGCACAAAGATGATAAATTATTAGGAAGGAACAATCTCACATACTTGAAGGTAAGTTGCGATGATATTCTGACTTCACTATTCTTGCGACATGTGAGAACTTTTAACTTTTAACTAATATCCAAAACAAGTCACGATTATCATCATAATGATAGTAATTTTTCATTATTTTTTACTAGTTTTCTTCAAATTAAAAACATATCACATGAGTAAAATGTTTAAACATCTTTTCATAAAGATATATTTTCATATATTCATAAAATGTTATAAATATAATGGAAATTGATTTAGTGAAAATATGTAATTGATATATTTGTTGTGAAATGTATGACGATATTTCTAGTAATGAATAAATAAACATATTCTAGTAATAAATAAATAATACTATAATCTCATTTTCACTTTCAGTTTTAATCATGACACTCCCATAATGATAAATCATTTCATAATATACATGTTGCAATTTGATAAAAATATAAATATAAATTGGTTTATTAAACAATATATATATATAATGTCTGTACTGTATCAACTTAAAAAGTGATTAGATGTATGTATATTTAATGTACAAAATATTTGAAATTGAAATGAATGATGATTAATAGACAAAATATGCCTTTTAAATATCTTTCTAAATATCTTTTCTAATCAAATATATGGGAATTGACAATACTGAAATATTATTTTAAATATTTACGTTTAAAGTAAGATATTGACATACATACCAATAATTTTTTTAAATTTAAATCACAGAAAATTTTTTTAAATTTAAATACCACGTAACTACGATAAACATTCTCTAGATGTCACTATACTTACTGCCGAAATTTTTTAAAATTTTCGATTATCCTTTCCTATTGATTCTATATTTTATCTGTCAAGACTGACTTCGCCCTTAACATTATAAATTGTGCTTTATAACGTCTAGA